AAGAATTATTGTTGAACTTTTAAAATGTAAGCTTAAATATTAATGCCATACTTAAATGCAATGATCAATTTTAAGTTCTTTTGTAGTTTATTGTTGCCTATTGCATACAGCAGCATTATGCCTTGCAAAAAGAAATCTCCACCAACAGAGGACCAGATTGAAATAAAAAGGGCTAAGGCTGCAGTGAGGAAAAGAAAGTCTCATGCAAATGAAAACCCAGATCAAATTGCAGCCAGGAGAGCTTCGAATGCTGAGAATATTGCTGTTGAATGTAGTTTATCATCTTATGCAGATGCAGTTTATCATCATACTCAGGGTGGTATAATTCTGAAATTCCTTCAATAAAGGATTTTTCTCTTAAATGAGGATATGCTTTAAGAATTGAAAAATGTCAAATTTAATACCATTTTCAAGTTAACATTAGAAGGCTACTGTGGTTATGACAGCTCACAGGTTACCATGAATAAATAAACATTTTCACTATGCTTTAAGTAAAAAATAAAATATTTTTGCAAAATCAAGTCAATTATTGCTTTAATTTTATTAATTTATGTTGAAAGAAAAGACAAATACTGGATTTTTAAGAGATTTTTAAATGTTATTTTCATTTGTTGTCAGAAATGGAGATTAACATTTTAAAAAGGTCTTAAAAACCTTACTTAAATATGTAAAATAATTTTCTAATTTTTCTGTTATCTTTCAAATAAAAACAAAATTTAACTTCAAAAGAGACATTTAAATTATTCAAAATGCATTTTAAAGTCTTCTTCAGTAAGTTCATAGCAATACTTTATAAATGACCTTTAAAAGTTTTGTTTTACTTTTTTATGGAGAAATGAGAATAAAAAAATTTAAAAAACTAAAAGTATACCTAATTTATTTATTATTTTTAGATTTCAGTTAATTTTTTAAAAGAAAATAAGAATAGAATTCAAACTGATAGTTTTGAACAAAATATTGTTTTATTTTTTCTGTCAGCTCAAATTTATTTTAAAAATAAATAATTGCTTCATTTATAGTTTAAAATGCATCATCAAAAAAAAAAATGAGAAAAATATTAAAACTAATATCTATCGATAAAACAAATCAGATTTAAAATAGGATTCAGCTGATGATGTTCATTCACTCAGTTAGCAATACAAATTTCAATGCAATGGACCTGTCAGATTGGCATGAAATGAATAGTGTTGTATTCATATGCAAATCTCCACCTTATAAATAGCAGTTGATACAGGTAGAAAAAAATCCTAACCTTGAAGATGGAACTACTAGAGAAATAGTAGTGAATTCTTTTAACTTCTTATAGTTTACAACAAGCTGTATATCCTCTTTTTGATTTGCCTGCACTTGAGACATGAAATCAACTGATTATTAAAAACAAAACATTGCTCTACAAGGAGGTATAAATTTCAGTTCTTTTTCAATGTTAAATTTCTCTGGAATTTCAGCCACCTTTTTGTTTAAAAACAAGCAAATACTGACTGGGTAAAGTTGTTTATGTATATTCTTTTACAATCTTTACTTGACATTCTATTGACCTGTTGGTTTGAGCCAGATCTAAAAAAGGTAACATTCTTCTCCCACTAACTTTCACTCTAATGAATCAGTTTGTAAAAAGATCAAAATGAACTGAAAAGTTTCAGGAGCTTGATTCCCCCCCCCCCAAACAACCCAAAAGCACATATGTTAATGCAGGAAAATGAGGTGCTAAAATCTGGAAAATTTTTTCTTTTTCTTTCTTTAGGAGTCAGAATCTCACTAGTGTGTGAGAGAGAGAGAGAGAGAGAGAGATTCTAGTTCCAAATATGCATTATACACTTTCAATTACATGAAATACTTCTAGCATCACTTTTTCAGTATAAACATTCTACAGTCACCACTATCAACATTTGTTCTTTTAAACAGTATGTGCAAGAAATACTGAAGCAATTATACATATTATGAACATGAAAGGACACCAATAAATACTTGATCATTGATAGTGTCTAACATAGAGAGGTGGTAATCTTAAAAATCATTTCAAGCTAGTTTGAGTGCTCTAGGAAATGTGAATTTGTAACAAAGTTGGTTGTGTCCAACAAATACTAAAATACTATCCAAATACCAATTTTGGCATTTTTCTTCATCTTTAAATCTCTGGGATTATTTTTTTTGTAAATATAAATAAAATACAATATTAAACAATTTCATAGAGCCAACCAATTTTGCTGTCCAGCTGCTCTTAACAACGGCATAAAAAAAAAAAAATTGTAAATTTAAAAGACCAATTATTCACAAGTCAGCTGATACTCTGAGAAAATAGTCAAACAGATGACTGGTATAATTAAAAGAGAACAAAAAATTAGATTCTACAGAGAACTTCAAAGTGAGATGTACAGATGGCAATAGAAATAAAGCTTTGTGAACACTATGCAGCTTGCATTTAGATATACTGAATATATATTATCCACAAAAAATAATAGTTCCATGAGTCATTTAAGTAGAGTCTATTCATTAGAACTTTTTTCTGTTAATTTGTTATAAATTCACTATAACCTTTGTTTTTCCTGTTAATTTATTATAAACAACTGCTGAAAATCTCAATAGCTACTACTAAATTAACAAAATAACTGGTATCGGGATATGTCATTGTATCAATTGAAAATTCATAACAGACAGCTTATTGAGCAAATTTTTATTGCTGAGTAGCTAAATTAAAAAACAAAAAGAAAACCTAAAAATAAATCACTTGTAGTGAGTTTTCTATAGGTTTAAAAGAAACTGAGATTAACTCTTTATATGATTCACAAATCACTTAATGGCACCATGTTCACAAGTGAATTTTTATTGTTTAAATATTTTTAACTGATTTACAATTTTTCAAACTGATATAAAGAAGCCACTGATTCATACTAGCTTCAATTATGTAGCAATCACTTTATTTTAGAGATGAAGAGGTAAACATCTGTTTACAATATTATATACAAACTGTCAAGGAGTACTAATGCATTGCAAAGATTAAAGAAAACAATTCTCTAAGTAAATGTAAATTGAAATGAAAAAATTGTGCAAGTTATTTCATGTTGATTTAAGATAGAATTAATTAAAATCAGAAATAAGTGTAACAAAATACAGAATAATTTATACAACTGACATTACTTTTTTTTTTCTTTTTTTTTTTTTTTAATCATTTCACCCTAAATAAAAAGATAAACACCACAAAGTTTCAAGGGTTTACTGAGAGTGAAAGAAACGGAGGGGGCAATAAAAGAACAGGAATTAAGACAGAAATGACGATATTGCATTTAAATTTTTGAAGATCATAGTTGATAAGAAAGCAGGAAGCTGGAAGTGTGTTCCACAAGCAAAAAGTGCAGAAGAAACTATGAACATAGAACCTATGGTTACAACTAGCAATTTCAACAGTGAAATGACATGACTTAACTACCAATCTTATACTGCTTACATTCATGAAGTTGAGGTACCAAAATGGTAATCTCACAAGTACAATTACTGTGAAAATCATTATAGAGGCATATAGGGAAAGCTACATTACAGCAGTGGAAAAGTGACTGAACCAAGGTTGTCAGGACTGATAACATTTCAGATTCTTTGGATTTTGTTAAGAATCTCTAGATATATAGCAGAGGCATCAAACTAGATGTGATAACAATATTCAGTGTATAGACAAATGGTAAACTTATAAATGTGTAAAATAGATTCTGGCAAAAAAAACTGTTTAGCAATAGCAGAAAACATAGCAATTAATTCAATATAATAATTTCACTTCATGTCAGTGGAAAACATGAGACCAAGAAGGTGTGATGAATTGCTCTCTTGAAGGTTATCATGAGCCATGATGGAAAGCAAAAAAAACAAAACAAAAAGTTCTTTAAGACAATTAATAGATAGCAGTTTCATTTTGGAGGTGTTAAAATTAAACCATTTCTTGCTCCAGTTAACAACAGATTGAAAGTCATTTCCAAGATTAGCTGCCATTTTGATTTTATTAAGTCTATCATACTTACAACTAAGACAAGAGTAAATAGTTGTGTCATCAGCATAGATACTGATTCAGTAACTATTGACATCAGAAAAGTTGTTGATGAAAATAAGGACCAAAACAGGTCCAAGAAAGATTATATATATATATATATATATATATATATATATATATATATATATATAAAGATCAAAATCACCATAACCCTTCAACTTGTGAAAAAGAACAGTATGCCAAACCCTGTCAAATGCCTTTGAAATATCTAAAACAATACCTTGATGCTATTTTTATCTAAAGCTTGACAGATTCATTCAGCAATAACCATCAACACATATCAGTGGTTGAGGTAGAAAAGCAAAAGCCATACTGTTTATTTGAAAGACCCTTCCAGGTGAAATACTTAAATTTGGGAGTTGATTACAGCCTCTAGTATTTTGTCAAAAAGAAGAAGACTAATGGGTTGATAGTTTAAAAGATCAGACAGTTTGCCAGAGTTCTTAAAAACAGGAACTACAAAAGAGAAGTCCTGACAATAAGGCATCTATTTTAGAACATGGAGAGAACAGGGCCAGCTTCAAAAGAGTTTCATCATTCTAATGACTGTTTTACAAGGAAAAATTTAAAAAGTTAGTTTTCCTCAGTCTCTTGGAAACTTAGAAGTAGACTTAGCAGGTTAATTTAAAACCATAAATTCTCATACCCTATCAATGGGACCTGAAATGCACCAATTACATTTACTGTAGAGTGGTAAGACCTCATCCCAAAAGAGGTCATGTACCAAGTAAATGCTTACAAACTCAATATAAATTAGCAATATTTACATAAGTAAATGCTTATAAACTCAAATATAAAAAAATAAAACTGATTTTGACATTAAATAACTCAAGGGTTGATGTGTCGTAAAAATCAACCAACCCTACCCTGATAAATTTTTTTGGCAATTTAAAAAAGATAAAATAGACTGCAACTAATGTGTGTGCATTAATATAAAATTGTTTTTAAATATTAAAACACTTACCTGAAAGTTAAGCAACTCACCAGACAATGTCAAATGCAGACATGATTAATGAGATGAAATGTTTTCGTCACTATTTTGTGACAATTATAATTTGAATTTTTTTCTGAAAATGAAAAAAAAAAATATTATTTTCATGAGAGCTTAATTAAAATTTCTTTAGTGTATACTTCTGATACTCAAAGATTTTTTTTAAGTACCAATAAATTGGTAGCTAAAAATAAAAATTAAATTCTGTCTATTGTTAAGAATAATCATTTTAGGGAAATCTTCTTGGAACTCTTCACACTACAAAAATATCTTAAATGTTCCATGAATTGGATGGATGTTGGATTTAATGGCATGTCAACTCCTATTTCCATGAATTGGTTTTCAACATTTCTCAGATGTTCAAAATAAAATTCTTAATCATAATTTACAATTCTGAATATACAAAGTCAGATACAGTTGATACATACAAAACAGGTTACCTAAACTTTGATGACATAAATCCCAAATATTTTGGATAAAGAAGTTTTGTATGAAAGATGATAAAAAAAAAAAAAAAAAAATCAATAATAAAATAAAGCACTGCACAATCAGATAGCTGTTTAAATGATCATCCCTCAAGTAAATCCTTTATATTAAAATTGTATCCTAGATTAGATCAGTCTTTTATCACTTATAATCATTCCAGCATTATAATAATTTTCCTTAACGTATGGTCATTAGCAAGAGCAGTAAGATGTGGGCTACAAATTGGACATGTTAAAATCAAGCAAGTACAGAAATCTAAATATGTGGAAAGTGTTAAAACAGACAACAGAAAATGTGACACAAAAATCCAAAGGAATTTTAACCAATATTATTGTCTTTTGGACAATTCACCGGTGTCACTTTTAAACCTAATATCTGGACTCAGGTAGTGAAATTTTATGAGTATCTTTTTTCTCAGTCAGAGGCTCCCAAATGGTATTTGTCTCTATGTTAGGTCTACTGAGGAGGTTGTCATTGCCTAACATGTTCATTGATTCTATGTCATCTTATCCTCCACTGTTGTTCTCTGTCTATTATCGACTCATTCTAAAGGGATTAATGACTACTTTTCTCCCCACAAAGGTTCAGCCATGCCTAATTTCAAAGTGTCTGCCCAGACTATAGTCTTTTGATGTTCCTCCACCTTGACATTTAGTCTGTAGCTGTTATCTTCCTCACATTCTTTGTTGTTAGACAAGAGTAACACAAGAGCAGTGTTAGACAAGTTAGAATAATCAGAGAAATTGACTAATATAATTGGGATGGCATCTAGAGTAAGTAATAAAAGATTACATATTCTGGTTCATGAAAAAAAAATAAACAAGCAGAATAAAAGTGAATATTAACCCAACTGAGATATACACATGAAAAGCAAAATAAAGAATCTACTGCACAGAATGTCAAGCAAAGGTTTTGGTTTAAGATTCTACTAAGTTACCAAGTATGATGACTGACACCTGAGGCAAGCCAGAGAGAACAATGGCCAAAACATTGTGAATACAACAACCAAAATGAGTAGACTAGTTCAAATAGAAAGGTACATATAGTAAGGTGATATGAAGAATAGAAAATTCTATTTTCCACATGCACAAAAAATGATTTATTCATTTTTTGAGTTAAAATGTTTTTCTTTAAATAAAGCTCAAGGGTAAGAAATAAATCTATTATTTAAAAAAATAAAATAAATATATTTTTTTAAGTTTTGTGTATATTTCAGAAATTAAAATTTGAAACTATTAGATTTAAAAAAATATATAAAAATGTCAACATTGCTTACTGCCTTTAATTCTCAAATATGTAAATATTAAGGTCATTAACACTTTAGGGCTGAAAATGTCTATTTGAATAACAAAGCAATTTAATTATAAACACCTTTAACAAAACCTCTTATAAAAATTACAAAAGACCAAATTGAAAATTAATAAGTTATTTTTAAAAATTTGATTTTTAAAACTGTATATGCTGATTATTTATCTCCATTAAGAACCATTAAGATGGCTAAGATACATTAGTAGATGTGAGGAAACAGTTTATTTAATATCATGGTTTTATAGGAGACACACAACCAACCAACTTTACATATTTAATTTTCAATGTTTTGACCAGATTTAATCTTTGAGTTTTATTAGATTACTAATTTATACTTTATTAAATCAATATAATATTTAAAATATTTCATATTTAAGACAAATCTTCAACAATTTCTAAATTAACAAGTGTTTCTGTGCAACCATTTTAAAAAAAAAAGCATCAATTTTGTCTCTTGAATCTCAATTGCATTCTTCTACATATTGACACTAATTTATATATGACCTCAACATCATTACCAACCTCCCTAATCATCAATGCACTTACTCTTAACAAAAGAAATACTCTTAAAGAACACTGCTAAGAGTAAGCATGTCAATTCAACCAGTTCTTTCAAAGGGTAGGTAAAACAATTTGCCTACATCACTTAATGACTGTCTACTTGAACAGCTTTATGAAGGTCAAGTACATTGCAAGTTTTTCATTCATTTCAAGAATGCAATAAAGCCTTTTTATTTAGCCTTCCAATATCAGAGTCACTCTAGTAGTATTTTTTAACATTCCTCATTGATGCAATATATTTTAATGTTAGGATTAGGTCTTTTTGATATAGTATCATATACATCAAGTAATTAACAAAAATTCAACACAAAGTATAAACACAAGAAATTTGCAAACAAATTAAGCAAATTTATTTTCTGTATGTAATTTTCACTACCAGATTCTATTCAAAATAACCCTTATAAATATTCTACTATATAAGTTAGATATAATTATTCAAGAAAACAAGCAAAAATAAAAATGCAGATAACAACAGGATACAGCCAATGCAGTATTTTTCAAAGGTTTTTACAAGTGTAGAAAAAGTGTCCAAACATTTGTTTTGTAGTGTTAATCTTCAGAAAATTACAGTAAAATATCCAGCTTTTAAAGTTCATTATACATTAAACAATGTCTTTGACTGCAAATATATACTTACAAGACAAAAATTTTTAATTCCAGTACTTTTGCCAATTCAGAAAATATATATAAATATATCTAGCATGTGAAATTAGCAATTTTTTTTTTTACTAATATAGTATCATAAAAATGTTATAATTTTTTAGATTTTAAAATTTTGTTCAAGAAAATATTTTTTGTGTGTGTGTATATATATATATATATATATATATATATATATATATATATATATATATAGCTACCTCCAAAGATTCACCAAAAAACGAGCATACCATGAAAAAAATAACACAAACTTATTAAAAACAAAGTTCTTATCAAAATCTTTGGGTTATTAAGAAGAAAGATCACAGGATTTATGTAAAAATTATATTTTTTGAATAGTTAAATAAGAAAAGCAAACAGATAATTCTTTTTTCCAAATTTAATTTTTGATGAAAATTGTTTCAGTGCAAAAAACACAAAGCAAAAATATCAAAAGGTCAAATAAAACCTATCTTTAACGTTTTTTTTCCTGTATCTTTTTCTTTTAAGAAATCAATAGTTATTTGTGTAGCATTTGTCATCATTTCTATTGTAATTAGGAAGCCATTGTTTTATTAAAATTTAATACTTATGTGAAATTTTAAATAAATATTTCATTATAATTAACATTTCTTCAGGCATCCATACCATTTAGTTAAGTACCATGATTGATAACATAAAATTACTATTACTACTATTTCAGCACATATTTTTTAAATCATTCAACCTCAAGAAAGGCAACAAAGCCACTAAGATGCAGGGGAGGTATTAAAAAAATATTATATAGTATAATTTGTTACCAAACAATAGAAAGAAAATAAATTTATAAATTCTAGAAAAATGTCTTCATTTAATTTTGGAATCAACTTTACTATATTTAGTACTTGGTCAAACTTTAACATTGTCTTTAGTCATATGTATCCATTATTTCACTAGTGCTGTATGACTTAAAAATTTCCAGTTCTAATTATTACAATACTTGATCTAGTTTATATCTGACAAACTATCAACTTCATTTTTATAATCAAAATTTCATAAGAAAGCAGATTTTAAATTTGAAGATTTAATGACTTAATTCAAAATATTTTATGTTCTTTTAAGGTTCAAACTTTCAAGTAAATAGATATTTGGTTTATACAAGTCAATTATGGTTCAACTAATACCAGCATGGAGTAGAATTATTTTGTCTTCTGAATACAAAAGAAAAATAAATTGGAATTAAATTAAAAAAATAACTACCAAAAAGGATTGCTTTTTTGCTTACTACAAACAAAGTAATAAATAAGAAAAAAAAAATAACCCTTGAGTAATCAGTTATTAATTATTTCAATAGACAATTACAGACAGTAATTAATATTAATATACAACATCTATATTAATAAGAGATTGAGAAAAAAAGCAGGCAACTTTGAGAAAAGTTATTACAATACTGTCTAGACAATTGAACCTCTTATTAATAGACTTGTGGCTGTTAAGAAAACATTTTGGCTGATCTAGTCTTCAATCTACATCAGGTATATTCCAGGAAAGAAAAAAAAAGTGACACTTCTAGGAAAACGAAGAATGGCAATGATGAATAAAATGGTAATTTATTATACCAACTAGACCAACAAATATAAAAATATGGGTTTTTATTGTATGAACAATATTTGTATGTATAAAAAACAATGTATAAAAACACACATCCACATACCTGATACACTAAAAAGTTACATATATTAGCAATAATAATATCTATAATTGAATTGAATGTACACACATCCACATACCTCCAAATTTCCCAATACACACAATTTTTCCCCAACCATAGAATTTACCCCAATATTAATAACTCAGATGTAACCAACAATCAACACATATACTGACACCACCAACTCCTGTAAGACCAACTAAAAATTTGATACACACAAAATCTGCCCAACCAATGAAAAACAAATAACAGAAATTTAATTTCACTGGCATACAAGTCCAAACAAGTAGGTATATATTTAAATATTCCAGTATGATGCAGTAAATAATGTAACTTACAAATCAACAAACATCTTAGTTTTGCAATAAAAACTTACTCCATTATATTTTCTT